ATTAAAATTTCAAGAAAGTTCCAAAAAGACAAATAATTCATATACATTAAAAAAAATAAGAATGTTCATTAATTAACACACATGTGTTTCTATTTTAAATCATTAAAATGTGTTTTAAAAAAAAAAGAGAGAAGTAGTAGTGTTAAAAAGCGAACACACACAAGTGAGTTCAATGATCATCTAGTTTTAGAGTGTAGAAGTACTAGTTATTGTTCATATCACATTGTCTGACCTTAACCTCTGATCTTGTGTTTAAGCAAGTTACCCTTTGTGTTTCTGAAACACTGAACACCGAAAAGGTCACATTCAGTCTCATGGAAAGATTTGACTCTTGTTTTGAAAGACAAAAGTGATCTGGTCTAGATCTCTATCAAAAAATTGAAGGTTCTTTTCCCTGAACATAGACGAGTCACTTCACCGGTCCTCACATATTCAAAAACTCATGTTATATTTAACAAAATAAAACATGTCATTGTTAATACAGTGAAGTGAAGGAGAGGTTTATTTAACATTTATGGAAGGAGTCTCCAGTGTCAGAGGTAAAGCTGTAACTTTTAGTTTTGTGTTTATCTTCAGGGCAGAGGAGTTTACCCTTCTTTGCGGTTTCTTAGTAACATGACAAGCGGTGTTTTTTTTGTCTTATGAACTTCAAGAGAAAAAAAAAAGGAAGTAGCGCCAGGAAGTAACTTGTTTTACAGACTTTCCACAACATTAAATGTAACTATAAACGGATAAAAAAAGTATGACTTTTTGTACTTTACTTTTAAAACATTGTAATCGTTGGTAAATTGCTGTGGTGTAAGAAGAGTAAATCATGTGCTGTTATTTGAAAATAATCAGCTTCCAGGTGGTAACAGGAACTCGCTTTATTCCACCACCCCGTCACCTAGTAATGTTTATCAAGGTAATTATAAAAGCACACCTCAGTTTCCTCTGATGTAAATCTGTACAGATAAATATAGGTTACTCTAATTTTAGGTTTTAAGAGTTCTCAGAAACCTCTGTGGTGTAAACCTGTGTGACCTCATCTACATGAAATATTAAAAGATTTATTTTTTATACTTTCCCATGCAACATTGCTTACAATAGCTTTTCAGTCAGCTGAAGAAATGAGCACCAAGTGTTGCTGCAGCAGAAGTCAGTTCTTACTTACAGGAAATGCAATTTCACACAGTTTCTGCATCCAGTCATCTACTTCAACCATTTCTACAGCAAAGACAAATGTCTTCTCCGTGGTTTCCACCAAGAAGGCCTTGCAGTCCTTTGGAAACCCGTCCACTTCCACAGCCTCCGACACGCGAATGCAGTCACTCAGTCTGATAATCTGCAACATTCGCGTGTTAACATAGCACGTTATGGTGTATCACTAAGTTAAATCTTTAATTTTTTCATATTATATGCTTGAATTTTGCAGTTGTAAAATGGAAACTACTTGTATGAATCATTTGATACCTTTCCATGGAGGACAAAACTGACAGTACTGCTCAGTATGAGTCAGTCTGTGATACTGCAAATTTGGGCTTACTAAACAACGATGTTTTTTGAGCCACATCAAATAGTTGCTGTCTATGAATATGTCAAACAAAATAAAGATCTTTTTTTTTTTAAATCATAACATTACATGTGCTGAAAACATTCACACTGTCTGCGCCCATGTGACATCTTTACTGCTGATTTACTCGCCTTTTTGTTGTCCTGCTTGCATTTGGATTTCTCCAACGTGCCAGTCCCGCCATCTTTACACTCGAAAAACTCTAGCCGTGAGATCGAACGGGTGCTTTCTCGGTACAGAATACACCACACTCTTCTCCACTTCTGCAACAGACAAGTGGTGAAAAAATCCATTTAAAAGAAATGAACAAATGGATTAGTTTTAAAACACAGGCCTAGACTTTCAAGGATTAAAGGTTTCCTTTATCAACCTAAAGTGTTCTTTGGTTTGTCTCTCAAACTTTTTAGAGACAGGGAACTGTAAAATAAATTCCATGGACCCCCTCAGTGCAGCTTTTTTATGAACATAATCCAACTATTCACACATCAAGCCCTTCATTCAAATGTCTACAATAATATTCTGGTTTATTAGAGCTTTTTATTCCTGAACTTTGCATCGTCGGAATACACTAATATTCCGCGTCCAAGCTGACATCATTTAAAGTTTTGAGTTACTGAGGTTTTGATAGGCAGATGAAAAGGTTTTCTGTAGAGCCCTACAACAGAGGGTTTCTTCATCAGAAACGGTTTCAAAAATCTAAAACTGTTAACGAGTTGAAGAACCCGTGAGGAACCTTTTCTTACAAAATGTTGAAACCTGAATATCTGATGGTTACAGAATATTTCATCTGCAGGCTTTGGTCCATATATCATCAATCCAATCATAACTTCTGATTTGAGAGTGTAATCTAAAGCAGACTAAAGGGACTGATTTCTAAGCAATATATCAATAAACCATTCATAAATACTTTTTTTTTTTTTTTTACCCTTTGCCCTCTTCAAGAACCGTCATAGGTTAAACATAATAAATAAATAAATAATAATTTTGCGATACAGATGGCAAGGCGTACACAACGATGCTAACTCAGCTATTTTGTTAATTGATAGCAAACATTACACTTGCTTTTACACATTGCAATACCTGCAAGTTTGTAAGCTCTTTAGTGATATGTATATTTTTGTATAATTTTATATAAAATTTGTGTATAGACTCCACTGATTGGATTAGACACAACAAGCAAGAGTTTATTGTTAGAATTTATGTATAATGTCATAATTCAATTTACACAATGGACCCAACACACGGAAAGCTGTTGTGCGCTAAAACACTTTGGCACTCTATCAGCTTTTCATGTGTTAACCCTAATTCCACTGCCATTGACTATAACCAGATACCTAAAACCTGCTTCTCATCATTATTTCCTCATCAGGCACGTGTTGATTCAGGCATGTTGTCTTACCTTTCCAAATCTTTGCTGCTGCAAATATAGCATACCCTTCTTTCTAATATCCTCCTCCATGTCTCTCTGTTTCATACTCCTCTTTAAAACAACTACGACTTACAGCTTCTTTCATCTAGTGTCACACCCCTTTCCTGCGTATTTCCTTGTGACGTAATTAACATCTTCAAGTTCCGCCATTTGTACATCCTGTATAACCCAGATGAGTTCTTTTGCAACACTCTGCAACAAGAGATATGCTTGATGTGTGTGTGTGTGTGTGTGTGTGTGTGTGTGTGTGTGTGTGTGTGTGTGTCCCTAATACTACAGTAATAAACATGATTAAAATGTCAAATGTCAATACTTAGTTCCTTAATATAAGTCCTTCCACCCAACACACAGCAGTTGTTTTTTTTTGACACTTTTGTTTACTCATTTACAAACACAGAGTTTTTATTAATTGCAAATTGTTACCAGCAAAGACACTGTTATAGTTCATTAAAATACTGATGAAATTCTGTGTTAGTCTTATAGACACGATGGTCAGTAGCATTTGCACGTCTCATAACAGCAGATTTAACATTTAAAGTGTCACATCGACTCTGTGGTCAGCTGCTTTTGCTGACATCCTGTTTCCATTGTCATTCACACACACACACACACACACACACACACACACAAATAGTGTAGAGGAAATAGTGTATTCTGTCTTGCATTTTAAAATTAGAGTTTGTTTACTAATTTCTGACACTTTCCAAAATAAAAAGTATCAAAGATAATGACTCATTCTGCAAACGCTTTCATGTTCCCTTATTTTTGATTCTCTGGTGCCCTCTAGGGGAAGTGAAGGTAAATTACATAAATTACAAGCACACTTGTCACATAAGCTTGTCTGAGAGAAAGGGTTTTTTTCCTGATGTTCTATCCATGAATGGTTTCAGATTGATTTTCCACATTCGCAGCTGCCCTCTGCACTTTTTCCAGCAGACCCTGGAAAGCAAGAAAAGTGTCACGACAATCACACCCTGTTCACAAGAAGCAGACTCGTGTAAGACAATACTACATTTTGGTGCCCTTGACTGTAAATCTCAGAAGTTTTTCCACATACGAAAGAATTATCAGAACAATTAGTGATGAAAACCTGCAGATGAAGGTAGACCACTGGGTGCCCTCTTGAGCTAAAGGGCAGCCAGCAACTGCTTATGCTGGGCTATAATTTGACCCAGATGGGACTCGAACCCACAATTCTCAGCTCCGAAGGCTGATGCCTTATCCATTAGGCCACTGGGCCTACAGGCAGCAGCACTGAGGGAAGAGTTTCAGATTGATTTTCTACATTCACAGCCGCCCACTAGATTTTTAACATGCAAAGAAGAAAACTTAAACAGCGGTCTGCGCCAGCCGGGAATCGAACCCGGTTCACAAGAATGGGAATCTTGCATGATACCACTACACCACTGGCACTTTACGCATGGCTAAACATGAGAACAAGCAGCACAGCCTCACAATACTCTGCTTCAGTTCAGACACGCATCGCTAATTGTCAGGACAATTAGTGATGAAGACCTGCAGGACTGGCTAGATGTCTGTCTGCCCTTTTGACCTAAAGTGCAGATGGCAATTTCTTATGTCTAGCTACTGTAAAGCAGGCACGAAGAGCTGTGGGGCAATGGACTCATTTTGGTGCCCTTTCAAAAATTTTTCATATCAAAGCTTTTTTTATTGACTTTCCACATTCGTAGCAATCCTGTAGGCTTTTTTACCCTGCAAAAAGCAGGTTACCAAGATTCTGCACCAGCCGGGAATCGAACCCGGTTCACAAGAATGGGAACCTTGCATGATACCACTACACCACTGGTGCTTCATCTAGGGGAAGTAGGGCTAATTATCAGAACAATTAGTGATTAAGAACTGAAGGATTTGTCAATAGTCTGGTTGTGCGTTTGACCTAAAGGAAATTCTTACAGAAAACTGACCCAGATGGGACTTGAACCCACAATCCTCAGCTCCGAAGGCTGATGCCTTATCCATTAGGCCACTGGGCCTACACACATCAGAAGAGGTGTGGTCCGGGCCAGCCAGGAATCAAACCCACTTCACAAGAATGGCTCTTGCATGACTCTTGCATGATACCACTACACCACTGGTGCTTTGTGACATGGGTGCATGGCTAAACGTTAGAACAATTAGTGATGAAGGACAAGGTAGACACCTGGGCGCCTTTTTGTCCTAAAGTGCAGCTAACAATTTTAATGCCTCACTATAACATTCACAGCTATTCTCTAGAATTTTTCCGGCAGACCCTGGAAGGCAACAAAGCATTGCGACAGTCTGCACAAGGTGGGAATCAAAACCAGTTCACAAGAACGGGAATCTTGTGTGACACCGCTACATTTCAGTGTACATTTTGTACATTTTGAGTTTAAGTCTCAGACGTTTTTCACACATGAGAGAAACTTCCATTAACAGGTTCAGATTGACTTTCTACATTCATAGGCTTTTTGAGCAGACTCTGGAAAGCAGCAAAGCCTCACGACAATCTGAGCTATGAAGTTTTTCTGGCAGAAAGCAAAAAAGCGTCGCAACAGTCTGCATAAAGCAGTAATCAAACCTGATTCACAAGAATGGAAATTGTATGATACCATTACACCACTGGCACTTTGCACTAAAGTCCATATCTGCTTGTTGGAAAAAGCAGACATGAAGAGCTGCAGGGCAACACGCTCATTTTGGTGCTAATTTTGACTTGCAGTTTCAAAGATTTTTCTCATCAAAGCTTCATATTAACTTTCCACATTCACAGCAATCCTACAGGTAGCTTTGAAAAAGGCTTATCCTGCAAAAGAGCAGACTCTCATTACAGTCTGCATGAACCAGGTGTCATGGATGATACCACTAGAACAATTCATGTCCAGGTGCCCTCTTGGCCTAAATGGCAGCTTTGCTTATGCCTAGCTATAATTTGACCCAGATGGGACTCGAACCCACAATCCTCAGCTCCGAAGGCTGATGCCTTATCCATTAGGCCACTGGGCCAACAGGAGCAAGAGTCCAGATCCATTTGATTTTTCTTGCGCACACATGTGCTAGAGGCCTGAGGGAATGGTTTCAGACTGATTTTCCATATTCACAGCTGCCCACTAGATTTTTTTATGGCAGACCCTGGAAAGAAACAAAGCATCACAACAGTCTGCACAAGGCGGGTATCAAAACCAGTTCGCAAGAACGGGAACCTTACATGACACCACTACATTTTGGTGCCCTTGACTTTAAATCTCAGAAGTTCCATTAACAGGTTCAGATTGACTTTCTACATTCATAGGCTTTTTCAGCAGACCCTGGAAAGCAGCAGGACTGGCTAGATGTCTGTCTGCCCTTTTGACCTAAAGTGCAGCTGGCAATTTCTTATGTCTAGCTACTGTAAAGTAGGCACAAAGAGCTGCAGGGCAACAGACTCATTTTGGTGCCCTTGTCTATTGCTTTGCAGTTTCAAAGATTTTTCACATCAAAGCTTCATATTGATTTTCCACATTCACAACAATCCTGCAGGCTTTTTTAATCAGGATTCAACACCAGCTGGGAATCAAACCCGGTCTACAAGAATGGGAATCTTGCATGATACCACTACACCACAGGGACATCCTTTAGTGAGTGTATGGCTAATTATCAGAGCTATTAGTGATGAAGACCTGAAGGACATGTAAACAGTCTGGGTGCCCTTTGACCTAAAGGTAATTTGTTACTGTATATTGACCCAGATGGGACTCGAACCCACAATCCTCAGCTCCGAAGGCTGATGCCTTATCCATTAGGCCACTGGGCCGACACACGTCAGCACTAAGATCCATTTGATTTTTCTTGCTCACACATAGCCTTTGGAAAGCATCAACGCATCACGACAGTCTGCACAAGGCGGGAATCAAAACCAATCCACAAGAACAGGAATATTGCATGACCCCACTACATTTTGGTGCCCTTGACTTTAATTCTCAGAAGTTTTTCACATATCCATTAACAGGAAAGTTCTATTAACAGGTTCAGACTGACTTTCTACATTCACAGGTGTTTTCGCTAGACCCTGGAGGGCAGCAATGCTCACAATAGTCTGCTTCAGCTCAGACAAGCATGGCTAATTGTCAGAACATTTAGTGATGAAGACCTACAGGACAAAGTAGATGTCTGTGTGCCCTAAAGTGCAGCCAGCAGGGGCCCGTTCTTCGTACATCGCTTATTACATCCGAGATCAAAAGACACATCCGAGATGATATGATCCAGCTAATCATTATCTGGCTAATTAGGTTCTTCGAACACACCTGTTGTTGATGATTAGTATGGCTGGATTGAGTTATCTGAGATCATTGCGCGTTCATGCGCTGGTTTAAAAGGGGCTATGTATCGATAGTAGAAACACTGATCAGCAACGCTGCTATTGGTTGCTTACAATGGCCAAAGAGTGTGCCCACTTTCTCTCAGTGACAGAACAAGAACTCTTAATGGAGAGCTATGGCGAGTTCCAAAATTTAATAAAAACGTCAGGGAACACCTCAAAGGCTGCAAAAGCCAGGAGAGATGGTTGGCAAAAAGTTGCAGACAAAATAAATGCATAAGTAGTGACGGTGTTAGATGTTTTTATCACTTATTACAGTATATATTATGTACTTTTCTTTTTTTTTTAATTTTCATAATTACTTTAATCTTTTATATTAGAGCCACCGCGGGACCCACTAGAACTTGGAAACAAGTAAAGGTGAAATACAAGAATATTCTACAAAATGGTAATATTAACTACATATACTGTTCATGTACTGTATGTGTGCTGTTGTAGACTTATACAAGTCCTCCGCATCTCCAATAGTGTAAAGGAAAGTGCCACTCGCAGAGAATCTCAACGCGATGCACACAGTTTGTGCTGTTGTTAAAGCCCTACTCCGACGAGTCGAACTTTTAATATGAGCTTCCAACAAATTAATTATGTAAATGACACCCTCACGTGAAAAACCATATCTTTCAAAAAGTGCACTATCGCGCTGTGCTAATGGATCCTGTCTGTCTCGCAAAACGCGATTAATTCTAAAAGCTCTGCGAATTATCCTCGCACCTTCCGCAACAGGTTGCTCTCGTAAAAACGGGCAAGACATGGCTGCAACAGACTTCCCCTATCACCTCCGCTTATAAAGCCACGATCTAATCCTGTTTACATGAAATAAGCCTGCTCCCGAGCAGGTTTAAGCTTACCGACCCGTTGCTATGACAACAACTTCAGGATGAGCGTCGAAGAACCAAATAATCCAAGATCACGCCAAATCGTCAACAATCAAATCCAGCTAACTGAGTTAGCAACGTACGAAGAACGGGCCCCAGATGTAAATGAAACATTTTCCAGGTTGTCAAATTCATATTGACTTTCCACATTCACAGCAATCCTGTGGGCTTTTTTCATCTTTAATCTGTAAAGAACCAAATTCATACAAAGGTCTGCACCAGCCGGGAATCGAACCCGGTTCACAAGAATGGGAATCTTGCATGATACCACTACACCACTGGTGCTTCTGGTCATACATACATGGCTAATTGTCAGAACAATTAGTGATGAAGGCCTGAAGGACAAGGCCTCAGGATCTTCCACATTCACAGTTACCCTCTAGATTTTTTCTGGAAAGTTCTGGAGGCTAATGCATTATCCATTACCTTGAGTAGTTTGAAAATGTGCTTTGATGGTTTTCTAGCTCACATGTGATAGAAACTATCATGAATGGTCCATTACATTTTGGTGCCTTTGACTTGCAAATTGACTCCTGTAGGCTTTTTCAACTTAACCTGAAAGGCAACAAAGGGTCACAATAGGCCACGCCAGCCAGGAATTGAACCTAGTTCACAAGAGTGGGAAGCTCACATGATAACACTACACCACTGACATGCCTTTTCACATGTGCATGGCTAATTGTCAGAACAATCAGTGATGAAGACCTACAGGACAAGGTAGACACCCGGGTGCCCTTTTGACCTAAAGCACAGCCAGATGAGATTTAAACTCACAATCCCCTGCTGTGAAGGTTGATACTTTACCAATTGGACCAGTAAGCCTCTGTTTGGAACCTTTTAAATATTTTTATATGTCTTTATTTCTTGCACTAGTGATAGAAACTTGCTCAAAGGGTTCAGATCAAATTTCAACATACAGAATATAGCAATCGTCTAGGCTTCTCCAGCACACACTGCACAGCCTTATCCATTAAGCCATTAGGTCTGCGTTCTGGTTCTTCGAGATGAGTCCTGTCGTCCAGAAGAGGATCTAACAAAGGTTTATTCCTCATTTCTGTCTTGTCTCTGTTTCCTGTCAAGGCTTATTTCCCATGTTATCTCTGGTTTCTTCATTAGGGATCTAAATCTACACCTGGATGTTTATTGGTAGAAGCACTACACAAACAAATCTGAAATAAACTGAATGAATGGTGAAAATTTGTTCTAGCTAAGTAGTTACTTTTGTACTTGCTTCTTCTTCTACATCAAACTCACATTCTTCAATATTGCTTACAGTTTTTTAATCAAAACCACACTGGGATTTTGCAGTTTGTTTCTGAGTTTCTGAGTTTCAGTATAAACAAACGGTCTGTAACGAATCAAGGTCGAACAATTGCCTAACTGTCTCCACATTCCTCCTTGGCTTTGAAGGAAGACGCAGTTTGAGTTCTTTGCCTCAAATGACTTTTGCATAGAATGCTACTTTTTTTATTTATTATAAGTAAGGCTTATTTTGAGGTTTGGAGGAATCTCTGAATATTACCCTTTACTGCACCTTGTTCTAACTCCTGATTAATGGATTTGATATGTTCTTCAAAAGACATGCAAATAGCCAGTGTAAAGAAATTAATGTCTGGAAATGGTTACCTTTATTCAGACAGAACCCGTCCTCATGGAGCGTCTGGAGGTATTTCCCAATGGCTACCATGTGGCATGCAGCATGAGCGCTATGGAAATACTTTATGTGGTTGTTGCTTGGGATTCCATGGAATGTTCACTGCAAGCAGAAAATGAGGAGTGAATTTACATTCTGCTTTCACACATTGTTTAATTTTATTTTCAGCTGTTTCCAGCAGGACACAATCTAATCATTCATTCATTCATTCATTTTAATGCCTACGTGGAAAAGAACTGAACTCCTCTCTGTGCCAGTAATGTCTTTTCATTGCAGGACATTAATGGAGGGTTTGGGAAAACAGGGAAGCCCCCTGCTCCTGCTTCTGGGCTCTCTTCCAATCCCCCAATTACTTCTCCTGTTTTCCAAACAAGTCTAACGGAAACTGGAAAGGAATGAACTGATTCCATAGAGGTGAGTTAATGCTATGGTTCTAATCAGAATCTCTGGGGGAAAAGAGAGTCCTGTGTTTCACAGAAGTGTAGAAATCTTATCCACCTGTAAAGACAGAGCATGTTCTCAAGGATTAACACTGTTCCTTTAATACTGCATCCAGACTAGCTATAAAAGACTTGACAAAACTAGCCTATTGGACCATTTGAACCTGGCTGTGGTCTGATTACTTTACCAGATAAAATATTTCATAAAGGACATACGAACAAAACCAAAGTTTTGACTATGTTTTATTGTAAATAAAACAGTGGTAAGGTATAAAAGTACTTGTACATGGGCATTCTGTACTGCTGAAAATACTGCAGTGTATTTACGTGAACCTGAACATGAAAGGTTCCTTTATGTCATATATAAATATAAGTATACATAAGTACATAACAACTAAGCAAGATATTGAATAACATACACATTATAATAAATAGGCCTATGTCTAGTCTGAATCAAAGAAAAACAAACAAAGATCTCACTTTCCACAGCCTTTTCATTTGAAAGTAGTCATCTAACCACTCAGCTGGAAAGTGGACATATTGCAAAGTCAAAGTATGTCAGTATTTAGTCCACAGTCACTCATTTTTATTAAACAAGATGAGTGATTGCACCTCATAAGAAATTCAAAATAGGATGTCTGTGCTCAGGCTTTAAGACCGAAGCTCTTAAAGAAAACCAGCTGTGGACGATGCTCCTCCCTCTGGGAATCAAACTAGCACCCGTGCACACAAACGGCGGGATACCACATATGGAAAAATATATAAATTCAGGAAAAGGATATATTACGACTTGGTGTTCAAAGACCACATGAAATTAGAGACTCAACAAAGAGTTACAGTGCGTCTGGAATGTGCTCCGAGTTCCCTGTTCAGAAGCAGATATACTTTATAGCCTACATTAGAAGAGGAAATATAAAGAGCAGCAGTTAAAACAAAAGAAATATTCATCCTCCTTCATCTTCTGATTAAAACCTCCATCCGGGATGCTCTACGTCCCTCAGGGGGGCTCTTGCTTTTTTGAGGTCTAATGTGTAATGTGTGTTTTTCTTTCATGTCAGTGGGCTGTGTCACGTTCTCCCTGTGCTCTTAGTGTTTGTGGGTCCAGATGTCAAGTCTCTCATGGACACAGGAGGCAGTTGTAGTCTTCAAGTAGAGTTTCTCAAGTCTTCTGCTGAGGAAACATTTCAGCGCTAAAGTGGTTCAATAGTAGTCTCCATCATAGTCTCTGATTGGATCGTATCCCATCAACTCTTTCATGCTTTCTTCTAAATAGGCAGCCATCT